TAAAGCCTAGCCATCCCACTGTGACTCATAGGGCACAGATACGTACAACGCTAGTATCTGTGGTCTCTGCTGTACAGAAAGGAAGTGTTCTGCTTTCTGCAGACATGATAGGAAAATCGTCCCATGAATAATACATTTGGGTGAACACACAAGAGTCCTCTCTCTTCTTCCACAGAGGCTCCTTCTGCACTCCGACAAGTCCTCTTTTGTTGCAGCACCCGTTGAACTCCGAGTTGATGGGTCTATGACTGCGCTTCTGTTAGTAACTGCCCTGTGGGATCGAGTTTATCTTGGGCTTCTTGCTTGCTTGTTGTACGCTCTTTATTTCTGTTTGTTCTTTTCCATCCTCATTTTAATGTACCACCCTCTTGTGATCTTCTGTTGACCGCTGCCTTTTTTCTTCAACCTTTTCTTTTCTCTTTTTTAAACTTTTAGACATGTGGACTGCTGTCCACAATCAGAGCACTCACATTGGCACCAGACTAGAGCCCAGAGCTGGAAGTTTCAAGACATGCAGTTAATGACTTTTAGGGGCATGCCCCATCCGTTAATTTTAGCCATGTCCAGGCATGGTGCTTGGAAGAGTGGCTTTTTTTCTAAATTTTATTTTATTTTAAAAAGAAGAGAAAAAAAAAGAAGAACAATCACAAAATGCAAACAAAACCAAGCAAGGACATTAAAAATGATGCAGAGTTTCAAACCAAATGACAGGTTTTAACAGTGGTTGTTATATTACAAATTGTTACCTTCAACAGGAAGATAGGAATTGACAGTGGTTGTTACATTACATATTGTTATCTTCAACCAAGTTGCTCAGGTTACCAGGTGTAAGAATGGAAGATTGATCCAACCATTCAAGAGAAGAGGAAAATAATAATGTAAAAGAACATTAGAGACAATACATAGTTTCACTACACATGATGGTAGGAATTCACCAATGGTTGTTACACTGCATGTTGTTGTATTCACATAAGTTACTAAGATTACTGGATATAAGCATGCAAAATTGGTTAAAATATATAAAAAGAAGTTAAACATTGACTGTTTCCCTCAATAAACTGCTGGACATCAGCAGTAAAGTTATGCCACCTACAAAGCATCGTACCACAGCAATGTATGTGCACCCGTGTTTATAGCAGCGCAATTTGCCATAGCTAAATCTGGGAAACAACCCAAATGCCCATCAATGGAGGAATGGATAAGAAAGATGTGGTATTTTTATACAATGGAGTATTACTCAGCTGTAGAAAAACATAAACTTGAGGCTTTTATAGGTAAATGGGTGCAGCTAGAGACCATACTCATAAGTGAAATAAATCGGACTGACATGTGTAGACATCGTATTGTTTCCCTAGTGTAATAACATGAAAGAGTAAAGAAAACCCAAATAGATAATATTTCAATAGATAATATGAAAGGGAAAGAAATTGTTCAATGGAAAGAATGAGTAGGATGAGTGAAAGAAGAAAAAGAAAGTACTAAGGCATAATATATATATACATATATATATACACATATATATGTGTGTATATATATATATATATATATGTATATATATGGCTTTTTAGACCCCTTGTCTAGTTCCTGTAGCTAGAAAGCCAAAATTAAGTGGGAAAAGAGCTGCGTGTGAAACTGCAATGAAACCATACTCCTGCACAGCTTGATCTGTTTCAAAATGAGCATGAAGAGTGTGGTTTTTTACTGGATTTGGGGAATGTAAGTCACTTTGCAGGACTGGAGTCTTCTTCTTTGGGAGGAGAGGAAGTTTTTGTGAATGACGTTCTCCGATGAACCGCAAAGCCCTTGGGCACAGCTTTCTTTGTTCGTTTTCTTGGTGGCAAAGTAATGACAATAATCTTTCATTTTATACTATTGTTTTTCAAAAAGGCACCCATCCCTGGAGGTGCACACATGGAATCCCAGCACTCTAGGAGGCTGAGGAAGGAGGATTGCAAGCTTGGACCTAGCGAGTGCAATTTTACCAACCTAACAAGACCTTGTCTCAAAATAAGATATTTTTCAAACATCTAGGAATGTAGCTCAGTGCAAAGCCTTGAGTTCAATCCCTGGTACTATAAGGAAATTTTTTTTTAAAATTCTCTTCAAGAGCAAGAATAAAAAAACACCAATATGGTTAACCATGACTTGTTTATTTGAACTGCCTCTGTCCACAGAAGAAGAAGTGCTGGTCTTAGTTTTCACTTACAGTGTTTTGTGCCTATGCTGTGTTTCACAGGACTAGGAGTTAATGCAAAGACAAACCTAACGGAGTGGATGGTCCCAGTAGATGTGAGATATTGAGATATTCTATGGGCAGAAATAGCATGGTTTTAATAGTTTGGAAATGGCTTGTATATTTAGGAAAGTATATATCTTTTAATTTTTAATTTTTTTGTGTTTTTGAAACTGGGTCTCTCTATGCTGTTCAGGCTGGCCTTGAGCTCACTTTGTAGCCCAGGCTGGCCTCCAACTCACAATGATCCTCCTGCCTCAGACTCCTGAGTACTGGGATTAATGGCATATGCCACCAGGCCTGACATCTTATTTTTTCAAGGTAAAGTTAGAGTGTGATACCTAATCCTAACATTGAAATATTTTCAGCTATCAGGAGGAGTTACATGATCCAATATATATGAAAGCAAAATCACCTCAGTTAACTAAGTGATTTCTTTGGTGGGTGGAAAAGGTACTGAGTGTAGGAGATCATCCTTTCACAGTGACAAGAGACTCAGAAGTTGGACGGAGTCATACCTACTCTATGAAGCAACTTTGGCGTGAACCATGATGTGTCGATATGCTCCTGCAGTTCACTGGACTGCCAGGCAGGGTTGCAAGAGCTGAGAAAGCTGATGCAGTATTTCATCTCATCCTAGAGATATTCTCAGTTTCTACCCCCTACCATTCATCATCGCCATGCTGGTGGTGATAGAAGAACAGTCATATGAAGGAAGTGGCCAGTGCCTGGCCCAGCATGACCACCACACATAAATGCTTCTTGTATTTTGGAGCAAATGCTCCCTTAGAAATTGTGTACATCCATCCATCCATCCATCCATCTATCCATCCATCCATCCATCCATCCATCCATCCATCCATCTATCCATCCATCCACTTCTGCACTTGGCAGTGTTGTCCAGCACTTTCTACAACCCAGGCAAGGAAGAGGTCCCAGGTATTCAACTGATGATAAAATCCCCCTGGTGCTCAGCCTTCATAGGGCTGCCTGGGCTGAGGGAAAATGTCTCTCAGAGATAAGGGAGATGATTTATGAAAGACTGGATGTTTTCCAGGGAGAGAAAGAATTCAGCATTTGGCAGAGTGAATATCAGGTTCCAGACATAGACCTGTGCATGTGCAGGCCCTGTTAGGGAGTAGTTAATATGTTGAGTTGCAGCATAAGATAGGTTTCCGAGTGTTGACGTTTGGGTAAGGTTTGTCAGAACTCTGTTGTGGTTTAGAACGAATATGTCACCCCAAAGTCACTTGTGTTTTAGAAGGTGATTAGGTCATGGGGTGCTCCACTAATTGGTGGATTCATCCAGATGAGTTCATAGCTGACCATGCCCTTAGGGGTTGGGGCTTGGCTGGAGGAGGTGGGTCCCCGGGGTATGATGTGGAAGGGTGTATTCTTTTCCCTAGTCCCTCTCTGCTTCCTGGCTGCCACAGGGTGACCAGTTGTCCTTTGCATTTCCCTGTGCTGTGATGTTTGTTCCTTGGAGCCAACAGACCACAGAACAACTCTCCCAAAACCTTTGAGTCAAGTGAAGCCTCCACTCTTTCAACTTCTCGGGGTCAGGTATTGTGTCTCAGCAAGCAGGAAGTTGAGTAATACCCTGTGCATGATGAGACAGGAGAACCGAAGAGCAGATGTTTGAGGAATTCACCTCAGGTTCACAGCACACGTGAAGCAAAGGGCTAGAATCCGAAGGACAGCCAGAGGGAGGCACCGTGAGGGCGGGGTTGTCATTGTGTTTGTCGGGCGCATGTCCAGGAACTGCCTCTGCACGCTCTGCAAAGTGCATAGACAGCCTGTGCCCCAGTAGCCTTCCAAGAGGCCTCTTGGTCATTATTCCTGTTGAGCTAGAAAGGAATTACTGATCCAACTCCAGAACAAGGTAAAAACTGAGTCTGTGATGGGACGTGCTTCTATCAGAAATCGACTCACGGTCAAGAAGGAGCTAAGTGCCTCACTGATCCTTTTCAGCCCTCTTGCTTGTGAAGCTTCTGAGCTTCATGGAGTGACCTCCCTCAGGGCCATGGTAGCAAGGGCCACATGGGACAGAGACATAGCATTCCCCGGCACATGAGTGTCCCCATCAATTTGGATGAAGTTGTTTTGGGAAAGGAAGGATGCAGATGACATGACCTTCTGCACGAAGACCCCATATGTTCCACCAAAAGACTTCTGGAATTAATAATGAAATTCAGCATTGTTGAGGAGACAGAAATAACTCACAAAAATCCATAGCATTCCTGTACTCCCCTCACTAACAAATGCCATTGGCAAGACCATTCGTCTCTCTGGATTCAACTGGAAATTCGGGGTGATTTGAGGTGTATTCTCTTCCTTTCCTTTTCATTTCCAAAATCCCAGTACTGATAGTTGAGGGTTCATTAAGGTGTGTTGTGTAGCAGCAGAAGAGCAAAAAAAATAGCCCTTTCAGGATGCTTCAATTCATATCACGCCTCTAGAGAGGAAAGACTATAATCATTTTTTAAAAATGCAGCCCATTGTCCCTTGCAGCCCCTACCCCGGCAGTTGCATTATGATAAGAGAAAGTCTCTGGGACCTAATGCAAATGTTTGGGGGTGCATCAAGGGTGACAGCAAGCTACTTCATATGGATTTACCCTTCTCCAAGGAGAGATCAACCATCAGCCAATTAAGCTATGGGATTTTGTGAGCTTTCAAGTGATATCATATAATATCAGAATGGTGGGTAGAAACTTTTTATTGCCACTCACCCTTTTGTTTTGTTTTGTTTTCTGTTGTTTCTGCAGGAATGCTGAGAAGCCGTTCCTTCTTTTCTTATCTTATGTCCATGTACACACGGCCCTCTTCTCTTCCAAGGATTTTACCAACAAAAGTCGCCACGGCCTTTATGGGGACGCTGTGGAGGAGATGGACTGGAGTGTTGGTAGGTGTGACGCCCACATTTTCTGAGAAAGCGGTTACCTTTCGTCTCCTATTTTATGAATTCTCCCTGAGGTTCCTGATGTCTGTCTAGACAGCAAGTGTGTTTGCTTTTCTTCTCAAAAAAACGTAACCGGAGAAACATGAGTTCAGGAAGGTAGACAGAATGCAGAAAGCGTCTTTCATCTTGCCTGTGCGGTAGTTGTTGCCGGTGAGGAGAGCGCTGGGTCCGTGTGTGACATGCGTGAGGAAAGAAGGCAACGCATGAGCCCTTACCTGCACTGCTGAAAGTACCAGTTAGAGCTGAACGGTACCGAAAGTAGACAAGTAGGGAACCTGGGATCTCGGCACCAGCAGCTGTCTGTACTGGTGGGCATCTCCAGCCAGCGCCGTGGGCTACACTTTGCACATGCGCATTCCTGTGTCTCAGAGTGCTGCTTGTGGCTTCTAGAACTCACTTTCTTGCTGTTTTGTCTGCACGTGGACAAACAGCCCCTCATTCCCGGTGTCTTTCATTCTCTTCCTAAGCAAACCACCCTATTTCTGAGAACTCAAGCACTTTTTTCTTTCAGTGGCACTTGGAAGACTTCCTTATGGAGGCTTTGTGCAAAACTTAACTGGGCTCGGTGGTGCACATCTGTAAGTCCAGCCCTCCCGGGGGTCTGAGGCAGGAGGCTCTCAAGTTTGAAGGCGCTCCGAGCAATTGAGTGATTTAGCAAGAACGCGTCTCAAAGTCAAAATAATAAATTGAAATAAAACAAAAGAGGGATGGGGGTGTAGTTCAATGCAAACTCCCTGGGTTCAGCCCCCAGTTTGCACCCCCAAATGCTCTGCATATCTCCCTGAGATCATTACTATGCTTCCATTTGTTTTGCACAGCTAAACAGCTCAAGTGTGAGGGTGGAAACCAGGGCTTAGTACATGCTAGGCAAGTGCTCTGCCGCACAGCAGCAGCCCTTGTTCTTATCATTTGATTTTTATTTTTTCTTTTTAAACAGAGTCTTGCTAAGTTAATCCCTGTTGGTCTTGATTGTGTGATCCCCCTGCCTCAGCCTCTGTAGTAGCTCGAATTACAGGTGTAGACCACCATTCCTGGCTGCTTTGTTTTTTCTTATGTCATAGAGCACTAACCATTTTAAGAAATAAAACTGGATCCTTCTGGGAGCTCCTACCCCTTCTCTATCTCTCTCTGTGAACTCAGGTGACAACTTTAATCTCCTGGCCTTTTTTCTGTCATGTCAGTGTGAAGGATTCAGAATAGCAGGTTCTAATTTCCTCCCCAGCAGTGTGCAAGGCCATAAAATCACAAGAGTGAGCAGAAAAGACAAGTGCTAAGCAGGAAAAAGAAAACCAGTTTTCTCTGTGTCAGGCTCTGTAAAAACTACACAGCACTCTGGGTGTTTCCATCTGCCAACACCCGCTGGCCCCTTCCTCTTTTAACCTTTCTAAAATTGCTTGGAGATCAGTTTACATTTTCTACACCTTGGCAGTGTAAATCAGAAGCATATTTGCAGTGTGAATCAGCAGATCATTGCCTCTCTGTAATGAGTGTTAGATTTTAACGTGTTGAGCTTCTTAACACGACTGGGAGTACTGCTGGCTAGCACGCACGCACTGACATCATCGCACTTAATTTTTATTTAATTATAAAAGCACAAATACCTACTTTCACACATTAAAATGTTTATATTTCAGTGTTGTGCTACCACTAGTTTGCCCTCTAGGATATTTGGAGATTATTTTTCAGTCTTTGAGATCTATGTAAGACCCAGGTGTTATGTTTATATATATTTATACATGACCTTCCTCCCTCCCTCCCTCCCTCTCTTCCTTCCTTCCTTCCTTCCTTCCTTCCTCCCTTCCTTTCTTCCTTCCTTCCTCTCTCCATCCCTCCTTCCTTCCTTTTCCATTGCCTTATTTTCCTTTCCTTCCCTTTGTTTTCTTTTCCTTTCCCTTCCCTTCCTTTCCTTCACCAAAAGATAAAATCTTTTTCCCAAGCCATTCCATTAATTTTATAGGAAATTTTTGCTGCTTTATAAGTTCCATTCATCTGAGTGTTTTCAGGAACATTTTATTTCATTTCATTTTATTTTTACCAAAGACCTTTCTGTATTAACCAAAAGTGGATTGTAACATCCTGAGTTATCGTACAGTAACATAAAGGTGAGGGTTGGAAATGGATCAATGAACAGAAACCTTTTCCATGAGAAAGCTGAGACAGAAGCAGTAGCCACAGAAGGTCCTCCTCAGTTACTCGGTGTTTGCTTTCCAATTTCTTTTCTTCCTTTGTAAAGGACTGCATGTTATTTCTGCAAATGACTGAGTTTCATTCTGGTAGACTTGTACATAAACCACATGTGGATCCTTTTCTATCACCCCGTGGCCCTTCTTATGGAACTGAATTTAGCTTCTTCTTTTCCCATGGTCCCTTCCTCCTGCAAAATGCTTGAGGGTCCTGCTGTGATAGCCTCCTCCCCTGCGGGTTTCGCTGTGCCTGGCAAGGTGTACTCTCACATGCTCCTGTAGTTTATGGCTTTATTCTCAGGCATGCGATTGCCCTAGGTGGAGCTGCTCAGTAGCTGGAGGAAGGCTGACTTCACAGCTTGGCTAATGTTGCAGAAGGAGCCTGGCTGTACATTTGCCATGCTAGGACTATGCTACTGTGTGCAAATTGGTGGGGTGCTGAGCATGTTTTTAGCAGTCCCAGTCCCTGCGTGGTGAGAGCTCACCACACACCTGGCCCTGGGTGATGCATGCACGACCTCCCCGTGGGCTCCCCAGGGTACACAGGGCAGGTAGTCGTCTTATCACACCCATGCTGCAGGTGAGGCTTGCAGACGGTGCAGAACTCCTGGTTCCAGGCATTGGCTCCATAATGGATGAGCAAGCAGGTGTTAAAGACCCACAGCCTGGGATCCACATCACCTGCGTCCTCCTCTTTCCATAGCATAAGGGAAGCTGCACAATAGCCTCCCATGGTCAACAACGACCTCCTGGGAAAGAGGCGGTTCATTCATGAGTCATGCTGTGCATGCCTGCTGTGTGCCTGGTAGTTTGTAGGCATCTGGGACAGAGTGAGGGTAAGACTCTTGGCTTCAAGCAACATAGCAGCTACGAAGTGATGTAGTGTTCTCCCAGGAGATGTTAGAGGAACTTAGGGCAGGAAGTGAGGAACGTCCTAGGGTGGAGCCAGGTAACATTCAGGAGCACCTTTGAAAGAAAGGGATAGGGACAGTGAGCACACTCAGCGTCCTCCCCACTGCAGCAGCCCATACACATCTGCTGTGGAATACCTGGAACAGTCAGGGCTGTAGGGCAAAATGTGATTTCCAGTCCCAGTTCATTTGGAAGCAGCTGAAGATTGGGAGGAAACAAAGTGTAAAATCGCATTGTTTTCGATGGTGCACTGGGGCACTTTGGGGTGTGTCTTTCTGGCTGTTGGGGACAGGGCGTGACGCTGGCTACAGACCTGTGCATGTGGTGGGGGTTGCAGCCCGGAGCAGGTGGAAGGAAGCACAGGAGGTGTGCGGGTGCTGAGTGCCTTCTCGGCAGCCTGTAGCATCCCAGCCCTAGCATCGGAGGCAGAATTTGCATGCAATCAGCGTTCATTTCCAGCCCCGCTGCTATTAATAGAGCCTCGCAGAGGACTCATAAATCAGCGCCTGCTCAGGATTAGACCAGCAAGTTCTGTATTCTTAGGAAGAGAAATACAAGCAGATGATGAGAAGGTGAATGCTAAAACAAAAATATACCTCCACCGCTGCTAAGGGTTGGACCCAGTGGTGTTTTTGAGGTTCTCCCTTTCCAATAAGAACAAGGAGACTTTCTCTTTAGGTGGAAAAAAAAATTAAAAAGCAGCCACAAGCTGGTGAGCATGCAGGAATCTTCCTGAGTTTAGCGTTGAGAAGCTCGGCATGTGTAGCGTGGCTCCACACACAGGGGGATTCCTCAGTTTCTCCTCTTTGATTCTGCACTCCTCCCTGGTCACCCACTCCTGACGTCTGGACAGAGCTAGCTTCTGTGGGCACAGAATCAGTGAAAGCATAAAGTACGGCATGCATTTATGAAAGAAGAGCTGGGAGACGTGATGGAATCAATTCCTGTCATGCCTGATACCATATAGAGAGCATTTCCTGGTCCTCATCTCCACCCAGGAAGTTTATATCTGTAACCCCATGGAAAAATTAGTGGAATTCTAGAGTTAATTCCAATCTACCACTTCCAGTGTAACCCATGGTGAGAGTAAAGACACAAAAACATATTTGTAGCTATGGGGAGCCAAGGGGTCCTAGGCCCAGCTAGGATAGTGGCTAACCAGAAAAAAGGCCTTGACCCAGGGCTGAACCCCAGGTTATATTAATTCATGAAGAAGGGAGTGGCTTGAGGATCAGTGAATATGAGAGTGCTGGGAAGTAGTTGAGTGCTGTGCATTAGGGTGGGTAGGAGGGCCGAAATTACCTCTGCAGTATGGAGAGAGAGAGAGAGAGAGAGAGAGAGAGAAACAGAGACAGAGACAGAGAAAAAGAATAATCTGCATAACACAGTTAAGGTAGGATCTAACCCTGGGATGAGTGCTTTTGAAGCAAGAGGAAGGATTCTGAGAGGGATTAATGAATGGCAAGGTGTCTTTTACTGTAACAAATGTTTTTAAAATTTAAACATGTCCATTATATTTCAATCACACTCAATACCACTTAATTCTAACCAGGGCTGAACTTTTTGGACACGGTTCTGCTGGATGATCCACTCTAAAATGAGCCCTTTTTATGATAGTGAGATGAAAACAGTTGTGGGAACATAGCATTCAGAGTTCAGTGACTGACCTCTCGGTTTATGGGTACATTTTCTTCTGCAATACTGCTGTGGATTAGTTATGTAGAAAACACCCACTTTCACAATACTAGAGCCATAGTATGTGTTCAATAAATGATTTTTAAATGTATAGTCCTGGAGCTTGATATTTTTAAGGAATTGCTAGGAACATAGTCCTGAATGAGGCTGGTG